TATGGTTATAAAAAAATTAATTTAATATTTTCATTTAATATATTTTTTAGAATTTTTATTTATTCAGCAATATTTTTATGAGGAAGCATTTATGATAACAAATTTTTCTCTATTTTTATTTTTTTTATTTAAATATTAATATTAGTATTTATCAAAATTATAAAACAGTTACATAATCATTAAAATTAATTTAATATTAGTTCACTCTTGTTATTATTATGCAAATCCAAACTTAATTTAGGTATATTTTATTTATAACAATAAAAAAATATATATATATACGTATTGTATATATAATGTTTTAGTTATTTCTTTATTTTTTATTAATACATTATTATTTGCTTATAAAAATGATATTGCATGCATAGTTTTATTTCACTTGTATTTTTTTATTTACCTAAGCAATGTTATAAGTTTTTAATATATCACTGTTAATTATCTACTATTATAAATTTTATCATATTATATATATTTTTTTGACAATCAATTTTATATAAATTTTTTTTTTTTTTTTTTTTTTTTTTTTTACTTTTTAAGTATGCAAAAAAAACTATGAATTACAATAGTAATAAATGTATGTCATATTATTAATATTTTGTCTGTTTATATGATATATGTTATAGTGTTTTTTTTTTCTTATGTTAAATATAAAACAAAAAAAAAAAATAAAATAAAGCAGTACAAAACATATAAAAAAATATATACATATTCTTAAAATAAAAACTAATAAAAGAATATGTAAAAATGATAAGATTTAATATGAAATCTATCTAGATAAAAAGAAAAAAAAAAAAAAAATATATATATATATATATATATATATATATATATATATATATATTTAAAATATTCATAACAATTAATTGAATAAAAACTAAAAAAGAAAATTATAAATTTCTAAAATAAAATGAAAAATTTGTATGTAAAAGAAAATTGACTACTTTTTTAGTCATACAGATATAATTCTTGAAAAAGCAAAAATTTTATAAATTTTATAATTTAATCATTTCATAAATTAAAATAAATAAAATAAAAAATTATACTTATGTTAAAAGAATATGAATTTTTATATCTTTTTTTTTTTATTTTTTTTTGATATTTTTGCTTTTCTGTTAACATATAAATTTTACTTATTTTTTTTTCTAAATTTATTACTTTTTATTTCTATTTATTTTTTTTCTTTACTAAAAAAAAAAAAAAAATGGGACAATGGACCGTTTTGAAGATATATTATTCTTCTATTTTTATATCTAAGTTTTTTTTTTAAAGACTAAATTTATATTTATCAGATAATAAACATACATGCTGAAAAATATTTTTAAATTTTTTATACTTTTTAATTTTCATTTTTTAAATATCCATTCATAAAAAACAAATATCACCAAATATATTATTTGTAATTATATATATATATATATATATGCAGATTCTATTTACATTTTATTATACGTTAATTTTTTTTTTTTTGGTTAAACATTTGCTAATTATAGGATTTAATAAACTGTAACTTGAATTTTATAATAATATTTTTGAGTGTAAAGATAAAAAATATAAACAAATATCAATAAATACATACATTTTTTTTTTTTTTTTTTTTTTTTAATGGTGTATAAAATTAACAATCTTATTCAAAATTTTTATTTGGTATTGTATCTTCTTATATATTACGCCTATATATATAATTGTAGATAGCTCAGGATTTTCTATACATATATATTTAAAAAATGAAAAAATAACATATATATATAGAAATGTGTTTTTTTTAAATTAATTTTATAAATATACAAGATATTTCCTTTGAATAATTTTTTTTTTTTTTTTTTTTATGAGATATTTTTAAATATAAAATGTAGGTAAATAGATACGTATATATATATATCTATATATATGATTTTTCTTAATTTTTTAAATATTTACATAATTATTATAATTTTTTATAGAGTTTTATATTTTTATTAATTTTATGGTTCTACATATATATATGATATATATATATATATATATATATATATATATATATATATATAATAAGAATATCACATTCAAAAAAAAAATTTTTTTTTTTTTTAAATTTAGACATACACACAAAAAAAAAAAAAAAAAAAAAAAAAATTTTTAATTATAAAGTTATATAATTTAATTATTCATACGATGTAATTAATTTATATAATGCTTTCTTATTTATAGCAAAAATATGTGATAATAGACAAAATTAATGGATACTATTATGCATGCTCTTTATTAATTTGTGTGTTAATTTATAGAAGTTTGTTAATAGGCAATTAATAAATCGCATACAAAATGGAATGTTCCATATCTTAGAGGAATAAAAATAGATATAAATCGAAACTCTCTAAATTTTAGAAAATCGAAACATATTCAATTAAATTGATTTTGATTTGCAACCGTTTTCAAGTTAAGAATAAATATTTTTTTATATATAATTTATTCGTATGTGATTTATAATAATTTTTTTTTTTTTGCAAAAAAAGATAAATAAAAAAATAGAAAGTATAAAAATATTTTGTGATAATATTTTCATTTGTTCTATTCATGTAAGCTTATGAATATGCTTATTATGTAATATATAAATATTAATTATTAAAAAATTATTTTTTTAATTTACAACAAGAGTATTAATAACATTAACAAATGTAATTGATATTATTTTACATTATCTTTTTTAATTTTTTTTCGTAATATTTTATCAATGTCTTTGAACAATTGAAGAATAAATTAAAAAGTTAATTTACCAGTTAACTTGCATAAAATGATTGATATATTATATATTAGTACTATGTATTAAATATTACAAATTTTTGATAGTTAAACATTTAAACAGCATATATTCTCTTTTTACTATTATAGAAATAATTGCTTTAAAAAACATAATATATATTATTTTACGTACTTTTTACGAAATTAGTTATCCTATGCTTTATAAAAGTGTTTAACATAGAAAATAACAAATCAATAATCAAGTAAATTTTTATTTCTTAAAAGAAGCGATACATTTCTTTTTCATATTTACACATTTTTATATATAACAAAAATTAAAAATAAGTAGANAACTTACGCTGAAAGATGCCAAGAAGAATGTCCAATAGAAAATAAAGAAACAGAAAAAAAAAAAAAAGAAAAAAAAAAAAAATTTTTTTTTTTTTTTTTTTTTTTTTTTGTGAGAAAATAAAAATGGTGCAAATGCTAATTTCTTTAATAAATAAGCAAAAGGATTATTTTTTTTTTTATTTTTTTTTTTTTTAGTTAAATATATGTTAAATAATTATTTATTTGTAATTATTTATAAAAATACAAAACATTATTTAAATATATATTACTATTTAACAATTATGAGGTGTAACATTCTCTTTTGTAATTAATGCAAATAAAGATTCTTATTTACACATTAAACTATTTTTCTTTACAATAGCTTAAATTTTTTAAAAATTACATGTGGATGATAAATATAAAAAGTTAATATTATAAAAAAGTAATACAAAAATACATATAGAATTTAAAAGAAAGAATTAAGTAGAAACGAAATAATCATTATATTTAATTCAAATTGTTTTATTATTGTTTTGAAATTACACTATAATTGTATGTATAATTATAAAGGGATCCTAAATAACAAAAAAAAAAAAAAAAAAAAAAAATTTAATTTATAATAAAAACTTAAAAAAATTATGTATATTTATTAAATCAAATATATTTTTATAATTTCATTACACTAAATTCAATTCTTCTAATTTATTTTACTATATCTATTTTGTTAAATTTATTTTTCTAAATTTGTTTTATTAAAATTATTTTATCAACATTAATTAATATATAATTTTATTTCACAAGAAAAAAAAAAAAAAAAAAAAAAAAAAAAAATTATCTATTTCTTCATCTACTCTCATCTCCATTTTTTCAATTACTCTTCTCTCTACGCTTCTACTATTCTCTTTACTTCCTCATTGGTTAATAAAAGGCTTCATTAACCTTTTTTACTATAAAAGGGACTAGCTATGTGGAGAATACGTAGTTGGTTGTGCTAACTAAAAAAAAAAAAAGAAAAAAATTATTGGAATTTTTCTTGAGATATTTGGCTTTTGAAAAAGATGAAGATAAAAAAAAAATAAAAAAGAATTTTTTATTTTTTTTTGAGAGAGAGATTTTTTTTTTAACAAAAAATAATAATGTTTTCATAAAAGAGTTTAATTTGCATAATGTTTATATTTTGAATTTGTGCGAGAAAAATTTATACATGTGATAATATAATTTTCATGTAATTAATATTCATGCAATTTATTTGCATTTTTTACTAATTTTTTATGTTTGTTAATTCAACAGAAATACGTTTAAATGGCTGAATATAACTCATAAAAAAGAAATAAGAAATTCACATATAATTAATAGTCAATATTCAATAAGGATTTAAATTTTTAATAAAAATAGGGATTTTAATTAAAGTAAATAAATGCTTATTGAAATTAAATAATGCTGAACGAAGTAGAGCACATAATTAAGAATCATTCGTTCAAAGCATTTGAGAACATATATAAATACAGCAAAATCATAGAGGCACCTCTACATGCTCTTTAATAATTTGTTTGTTCAGTACTCTAGTGAAGTCACCGAACACCAGTTAATAAATTAATTGCTTTAAAAAACATAATATATATTATTTTACGTACTTTTTACGAAATTAGTTATCCTATGCTTTATAAAAGTGTTTAACATAGAAAATAACAAATCAATAATCAAGTAAATTTTTATTTCTTAAAAGAAGCGATACATTTCTTTTTCATATTTACACATTTTTATATATAACAAAAATTAAAAATAAGTAGATAGCAAAAAAAAAAATTTTTCCTTAGTATTAATATTATATTAATAGAAAAACATTATATATTAAACCCAAAAGAAATTTATTTGTGTTAATTTAATATTATACTTTTTCTGTGTTATTTAGTTATGAATATTAGAATTTCTCCTCCGTTAAGATTTTGCCATTATATTACTTGATCTGAGGCTATCTCTTCATCTATATAGGGAAAATTTTTGTCGTAACCGAATGCACGAAGAAATCTATCTAATACACTTCTCTTTGCATTTTCTTTTTTTTTTACTTTTAGCAATTGAGGAGAGTTTATACATTCCATAGGTATTTCATTTAATCTTTTTTTTGCTTTTTTTTTTTTTGGATTATCTCTTCCAAGAAATTTTCCAACAGGAGTATACTATATTGTAAATTAAAAAATTATTTTTAATGAATGTAATTTTAATTTATTCAAATGGTTTTAAAAGAAAAAAAAATTTATATATATATTTTTGCATAAATAACTTCTTCTTACCATATAAAGAAGAACAAAAAAAAAAACTCCCCCAAGAAGAACAAGAGAAACAGGAAGAGCAGCAAAAGTTGGCCCACATAATAATCCTGCGCATGCCGCATTAGATAAGCCACTACCTTGATCTGCAGGGGTTAATGCGGTTGAATTATTCATTATAGTAGTATTATTATTCATTCCACTTGTAGAAAAAACAGTAGGTAAATCACTCATATCATTTGTAGATGAGGTTGTAAAATTAATATGAGAATCAGATGTTGTAGGTGATAAATCAGCCGTGGTTGATAAATCAGATGCGGATGGCAAAGCAGTTGGAGATATGGTTAATTCAGGTGATGGAGTAGATATGGGCAATATTGTTTCGTTAAATGTTTCAGTAGCTATGGGTAATGAAGTGGAGGTAGATGGTAATGCAGATGATAAACCAGTATTATTTGTTGTTATATTTTCGGTATTAAACAAGCTATCAACATATGAACCTATTGCCGAATCTAATAGAACATCTTTTGAAAACTTTCTCCATGAAGTTAAGGCATTATTTAAAAAACTCTTTTCATCAAGATCTGGTCGTAAATTTAATGTTTTTGTAATAATCCCACCTCTCTTATACATCGAATCTAAAAAATTCTGAGCATTCTCAGCTGTAAAATTTTTAGTTAATTTACTTAGTTCATCAAAAAATTCTCCTTCAAAAGACTCTAACCAAATTTTAAAGAGGCTTTCAATTGAACTGGCTGATCTTACTCTTCTACTACTTGTTCCTTGTTGTTGTTCTGCTAGAATTCTTCCACTTCTGCGATATAATTCTGTTTTTAGGTTATTTTTTCCTACTTCAAAACTATAGAGGGGGAATTATATTAAAAAATTAAAATTATACAAATTATTTTTATGGAATAATGCAAATTTTCAAAAATATAATATATAAATATATTTTTCATTATGAATATTACTTTATACTGTAAAAATATTGGAATATACACACTAACAAATAAATATAGATAATCATCATTGGGAAATGAAATATTTTTATTTTTATTATTTTCGAATGCTCCATAATCTCTAAATTTCGTAAAATTTACAAAAAAATATCACTTGGTTTATATATATTTATACCATTAAAATTTTCTGTATTATTTCAAGTAATTCGAATAATATGAGGTAAAAAAATATATTTTATTATTATTAAACAAAATTTTTGAATATAAAACAATTCCTAATATTATCGAATAGTTCTTAACACGTTGTTCAATGTAACATATAATTAAAAACTATAGAAATCTTATAGATTATACTTGTAATTTTTTCAAATATACAAGGTAAAGTAGTTCTCAAATAATGTGAAGAAAAAAGAAACAATGAAAAAGATAAAAAATAAAAATATATGTTTTTAAATTATACTATTTTCGATTTAAAATATCTATACATGACAAATTAATATTTAACAAAAACAAATTAAACATTAAATATAAATCATCAAATCTTTCATATTGAATAATTAAATTAAAAATTATAAATATTTAAAAATTTAAATTTAATAATAAATATCTATAATTTGTTAGTAAATAATTTTAAAACACAAAATAATTTTTCTATTCAATGAATAATTTTTTTTTAATATTTTAGATAAATAATTTATTGTATATATTATATAAGATTTATATGCATGTAAAACAAAAAAAATATTTAAAATAGTTATATCTAATATTTAATTCATAAAATATCCTATTATATATACTTTTAGTTTTTACTATGTTTTTTTAATGAATTAAATTAGAAACTAATTTTTTATAGAAAGAAAAATATACTACATCTCGTAAATAAAAAAAATGATAAAAATTACAATTATTTAAATCGTTAATAAAAATAAAAAAAATAGATAATAGTATTAAATCATTAATAAAATTAATATATCTTATGGATACTATAGTAATGAAAAAAGAAATACAAATAATATAAGTTCTTTAGAGATTTCTCGGTTATTGAATGTATTTACTATATTTAATATACAATTAATTATAATTTTGTTATAATGTTAATTTGAAAAATTAGCAGCATGCTAATTAAAAGATCATTAAAAAATTAATTTAAAATTAAATTTTATTCATTTTACTGTATTAATACATTTGAAATCGAATGATAAATTTTTTGAAAGTAAAAATTAAAATAAAAAGAAAAGATAAATAAAAATAGATCCAATTTATAAAAATACTATTTTAAATAATTAAAAAAAATTCAATAAAAAGATATTTATGGTTGTATCTAATGAAAAAAATATATTTTGTAATAAAAAAATAACAAATTAGTGAAAATTTTACCTCATCCATTGCATAAAAATGCTTAGAGATAACTATTTAACTAAAATAATGAAATAGAATATTTAAAAATTTATATGCATGCATTTCCATTTTTACATATTGTTAACAATTTAATAAAAAAGAAAAGCAATAATTGCCTTTAAAATAATGAATAATACATATATATCAATTATGAAATAAGAAATAAAAATGATAGCGCATATCTTACCTATTGAGGTAATTGTACAGTTAACCGGAACATGTATATTAATAAAATTATATGTAATTTATTTCTATAAAAATACTAGTAAAAAATATAAATATTTAAAAGAATTTTAAAATATAAAGTTTCTGCATATAATATATGTTTTATTAAAGTATATATAGAAAAAAAATAATAATAAAACAAAAATTTGGGATTTGTTTTTAATCATTAAGAAAAAGAAGATATATTTATCCTATTATGAAAAATTATTAAATTTTAAGAATTATAAGAAATTATATCAATTAACAAATTATACCTAAATTCGTTCTGATGCTGACTATAAGTTGATTTATTAGTAAAGTGATCAACTGTTTCTCTTTAATAATGAGAAAACAAGTTAACACAGAGCATGTAGCACGATATATTAATTTTAAATGTTGCAAAATTATATTGATGCAACAAATGTATATACCTTATATATATTGTTTATATAATTAGATATTTGTTTTTTTTAAAGTATTTTTTTTTATTCTAATAAAAATATATCCTTATTAAAAACATAAATTCTTTCTAAAACAATTGATTGTAGGTAAAATAATCCTTTAAAATAAATTAATAATTTTATATTAAAGCTATTAACAGTATTCAAAAACACATATAAATTATATAATAATAAAAACAAAATACTTTTTATTTTTCTTTCGAAATTTCAGTTGAATTATTCATTGAATTTAAAATTAAATTAATTAAATATAATTTTTTATCATTATTCAAAAAAAAAAAAATATATAACTATCTAGAACAAATTGAAAAGATATTTAAAAAAAGTAATAATTTTTTTTTCTTTTTTTTTTTGATAACTGAAGAATTTGTATGTTTAACTCTCAGTTTTTTGTATTAGTAGCTATTATTTCATAAAAGGAAAATAATATATTTTATTAATAAATATATAAAATTTTGAACATTAACAGATAAAATATGTATATATATAATGATGTTATTGGTGTATTAACAGAAATAATTTAACATATTACGTTAAAATAATACTATAAATAACTTATTTTATTTAATATTTGTAGTATTATAATAGTTAATATAAAAATAAGTGTTCCGATATAACAATGTTTAATAAAAGGCTTCATTAACCTTTTTGGTTATAAAAAGGACTAGCTATATGAAGAATACGTAGTTGATTGTACTAACGAAAAAAAAAAAAAAAAAAATTATTGGAATTTTTTTTTTGAGATATTTTTCTTTTGAAAAATGAAGATACGTAAAAAAAAAAAATATATTCATTTTTTTTTAAAATGATTTAATTCAGAGAGAGAGAAAAAAATTGGTAAAATTAAAATCGAGAGTAAGATTTAGCACCAATAAAAATAAGATCTTAAAAAGATAATGATGTTTTCATAAAAAAATTTAATTTGTATAATATTTATATTTTGAATTTGTGAGAGAAAATTTTATACATATGATTATAAAATTTTCACGTAATTAATATTCATATAATTTATTTGCATTTTTTTACTAATTATTTATGTTTTTTAATTCAACAGCAATATATTAAAATTGCTGAACATAACTCATAACAAAGAAATAAGTAATTTACATTTAATTAATAGTCAATATTCAATAAGGATTTAAATTTTTAATAAAAATAGGCGTTTTTATTAAAGTAAATAAATGTCTATTGAAATTAAAGAATGCTGAACGAAGTATAGCACATAATTAAGAATCACTCGTTCAAAGCATATAAAAATATATATAAACACAACAAAATCGTAGAGGCATCTCTACATGCTCTTTATTAATTTGTTTTTTCATTACTCTAGTAAAGTCACCGAACACCATGTTAATAAAACAAACAATGAATCAAAAACATAATTTGATAAATTATAGTTGAATATTCCATATATATATTTATTTGTTTATATAACGAGGTAAATATTAACAAAAATAATGAAAAGAAAAGTATTATATGAATACAATTGAATTTAAATGAAATACTGATGTAATTAAAAAGAAAAAAAAATTAAAAAAGAAATAATACTCATTAAATAAATAAATATTAATCAGAAGAGAATTACTGAAATAAAATTTTAAAAAATTAACAAATATATTACGTTATTCACATTTCAATTTATTCATGTTCTGTCCACTTCTCAGAATAAAGAATAGAAAAATTAATAAAGAGAATGTTTAATAATTTAATTAATGTAAAAATTATATTGACCGAATATTTAAGTAAACTTTATATTTATAGTTTATATCGTTGATAATTTATTGCATTAAGAGGTATTTATTCGCTTCATGATTTATTAACTGGGCATTCGGTGACTTTATTAGAGTAATGAACATACAAATTAATAAAGAGCATGTAGAGCTGCCTCTACGGTTTTGATGTATTTATATATATTTTTAAATACTTTGAATGATTGATCCTTAATTACATAATCTATTTCATTCAGCATTCTTTAATTTCAATAGACATTTATTCACTTTAATAAAAATCTTTATTTTTATTAAAAATTTAAAGCCTTATTGAACATTAATTATTAATTAATTGTAAATTACTAGTTTATTTGCTATGATTTATGTCCAGCAATTTAAATATATTGCTGTTAAATTAACAAACATAAACAATTAGTAAAAATGCAAATAAATTATATAAATATTAATTACGTGAAAATTTTATTATCATATGTATAAAATTTTCTTTTACAAAATTCATCAAAATCATATTTCCTTCCAAAAAAAAAAAATCTTTTTTTTTTTTTTTTTTTTTTATTTATTGGTAACAAATCTTTTTCTAATTGATTTTTTTTTTATCAATTTTTTTTTATTCTGACGGTTTTTGTATTTTTTTTTTAAAAAAAATACAAACAAAAAAATTGAACATTTTTTTTTTTTGTATACATGATCAACTTCATATCCTTCATTTAACTAGTCCTTTTATTTTCCAAAAAGGTTAATAAAGCCTTTTATTAAGTAGTTTGTTAACGTAAAAGCAGCGTATCTGAGTTTCTAAATATTGTTCATAATATTATAAGTAGAAATACATTTATTCAGGAATCATGTTCAGGTAGAATTTAAATTATTAATAAATATGAGGATTTTTTAAAGTAAATAAATGCCTCTTAAAAAAAAAATTAATGCTCTATGAAATAGGTAAATGATTTATTAAATGGGTGTTCGGTGACTTTGCTAGAGTACTGAACAAACAAATTAATAAAGAGCATGTAGAGTTGTCTCTACGATTTTGATGTATTTTTATATATTTTTATGTGCGTCAAACGAGTGATCCTTAATTATGTAATCTACTTCATTGAGCATTCTTTGATTTCAATAGGCATTTATTTACTTTAATAAAAATCCATATTTTTATTAAAAATTTAAATCCTTATTGAATATTGTTTATTAATTAAATGTAAATTACCTGTTTCTTTGTTATGAGTTACGTTAAGCAATTTAAATATATTGCTGTTGAATTAACAAACATAAACAATTAGT